AAAGAAATTTAAAAAAAGCAGGACTAGCGAAAATTTTGCATAGTCTAAGCAAATTCGGAGAAGATCAGACAAGATCAACAAAAAGACGAGTAGATCTAGGGAAAATTTGAAAATAAGGCCCCAGGAGAACAATTAAAAATTAAGAGACGTCTACAATGAGCCTATTCAAATCAAGTAGAACGATCACATTTGGGGGTCGGCACGCAAAAAACTAGGACATAGGAAGTCATTGACTTGACATTAAGGATATAAACACGATATATACGACGGAGACTAGAGCTAGTTGGCTAACAGTAGAAGTGTTTGATCAAAGAAGTAATTATTGAAGTAAAGGCTTGACCCCCCGGTGCACGTGGCATGGTGATAATAGGATCTATAGTTTCAAGTTGGTTTCCATCCAGCTTGAGAATTCAGACAGTGGGGGCTCACTCGGTGATGTGGGAGTATACTTGCCATAAGAGGGTTGAGGCTGAGTGTGGAAAATAGTGCCGTGAGTAGCACGTATATGGTGACAGTGGTTGAGTGAAATCCCTGAACCACGGAGATACGAGACGGATCCTACGAGGCAAGAGGGAGACTCTGATAGAACCTATGGGAAGAGGAATACGGACTGATATAGCAGACTCAGATAAACATTCCCAGTACAATGGGGGACTGTGAACAGGTATCATGACATAAGCTTCAAAGGGCATGCCAGAACAATGTTTAACTAAGCAAGAAATTGTGAAAGCAAATAGGTGATATGAGGATATAGGATAGGCGAATACCTCGAAACAGGAGAGATACCACAACTGTTTATCAGACAATTGGTCAAAAGATCGATTTCACTTGTTTCTTTGACGAGTTGTAGTGTGGTGCTAAGACTGGCAGGCCCACTGTGAATGCCAATAAAGATGCCGGCAAAACGTCTGGGAATGTACCAAATCCATGATCCGTCGCTGTAAATTAGCATGCATACTAGGGACTCCGGACAAGGTGTGCTCCTCTAGGTCTTCCTGACAATATGACTAAGTTGCGAAAACAAGTTTAAGCAGTAGTTAGTAGTAATACCTAATTCCTTAAGCATCGATAAATAGTAGGTGACGAGGATGCTCATCTAAAAAAGTTTTATTATAGCTAGGTAAATAGAGGCAGAGAGAAAAACAAATTCAAAGGAAGTAGTAAAAAATCACTCACTCGAGATGGGCTCCGAACCGGGTTAAGCATATCATAACTGCCTGTACAGCGGCTGTATATATGAGGCAGGGAAGACCGGGATCCGAGGCGAATTTGTAGTAAGAAGCTTGCCGGTGGTAGATAGTGTGCTTATTGTGGGAAGCCCAAATGCCCATGGAGGCAGACAATCCATTGGCAGAAGCGTCTATTAAATAAGTGTCACCTGCATCTGGCCAACCCTTGCTGTAACCATTGGAAGGCGATTTATACCTTAAGCGTGTCTGCGGCAAGCCTGCGCCCACAGATCTGGAAGTCTCATTGGGCAGTTCAGTGGTGATGTAAGAGAGGCGTCTACCATACATCGGACTAGTGCCTATCGGATGGTGAAACGAGCCTGATTCATCAAGTGGTATTGGCATCTGATTTGATTCACCTCTTCCCACGCTATTTTCAATAGAGTAGGAGTCTGAATCCACAAATTGACGCTGTATTGGAGAAGCAACAAGCTCGTCACTAGTAAATGAAAAGCCGCAGCCGCCCGCACTGAGTGAGCGGATACGGCTTGGCTGGTGCCTATTGGCAGCAAGCAATGGGACATGAGCATGCCGCGACTTGTGACTACCAGAGAGATGGTTGGTTTCACGGGTAGCTAAGGTTTCGGAATTTAGTAAACCAGTGAGTCGAAGATGCGAATCTATGGCCTGTGAGAGATTGTCGATGGGGATTCGAAAAGGGATAAATTATACAAATGGAGAAAGAATATCTCGGACACTAATTTACAAAAAC